TTTCTGACAATGCTTCATTATAGACTTTGAGCATAGATGGGCCTAATGTGTTTTGTGTTTATAAAATTCTGCCGATAGGCCATCTGGCCCAGGTGTTTTATTATTTTTTTGTCTCCTAATTGCTTCTGTTAGCTCCATCATTGTTATTCTTTCATTCAGCATGGTCTTCACTTCTTCAGACACTTTTTGATATTTAGCTTTTTCCAGGTATGGTTTTATTTTATTTTCTGATATTTTCTCTCGACTATATAAAAATTCCTTTATTATTTTTTTCTTAGCTTCATTTTGGTATTGAATAGTGCCTGTTTCATCTCTCAATCTTTGTATCAACTTCTTTTCTTTCTTACACAAGAAAATTTTAGAAATGGAATATGATAATATTTGTATTGTGGGAGACTTCAATGCAATTGTTGATGTAAAACTGGACTATAAAAGTAGTAAAATAAATAAAAAAATTAGGAGAACTTTACCTAAGACCTTTTTTAAAAATGGTGGAAGAAATAGGAATACAAGATTTATGGAGAGAATTGAAACCGGAGAAAAAACAGTATACTTTCTACTCTAAAAGGCACAAATCATGGTAAAGAATCAACATAATAGGAATGACATCGGAGCTACAAGAAAATATACAGAAAATAGAATTGGAGCCGAATTCCTGGGCAGACCATAATCCAATAAAAATTAAATGGAAAGGACAAATAAGAAAACTAAGATGGACATTAAAACAGTCAATATTAAAAGACAAGGAGTTTATACAAAGAATGGAGAAAGAAATGGATTTCTTTTTTAAAGAGAATAAAAATGGAGAAACATCCTTGCAAAATGTATGGGACACTACCAAAGCGTATTTTAGAGGATTAGCCATCTCTTATATAGGAAGGAAAAACAAGGAGAAAAAGCAAAAACAAAAGGGGTTGGAAGAAGAATATAAAAGATTAGAACTAGAACTACAGAGAGAACTGCAAAAATCAAATCTTAAAAATCAAATGGAAAGAGGAATTGGCACAAAAAATCAAAGCAGCAAAACATAATTTTTTTGAAAATGCAAATAAGCCGGGAAGATGGCTCGCATAGAGACTTAAAAAAGAGAAAGAAAAGGAGGTTGAGCATTTTGAACACTTGGAACTTTGTGGATTACAACCTTGCCTGACTGATAATTTTCAGGATACTTGAGACAAAGGATTACCATAAAATATTGCTATTAGGACTGTATTATAAAGGCTATATATAAAGAACAGAAAACTAGAGGAAATTTTGTTCCACTCATACTGAGATTGGTGATACTGCAAGAAAAAACAAATACCTTTCAGAAGGAAATACTCTCTATGTTACAGCAAATTCATCAAATAATCGTTGCATAAAAAGAGGACATAAGAAGAAACCATATTGAGACTAAAAATAACCTAGATGATATAAAGGACCAAATCTCCAAACTGAAGTTACAACTGGAAAGCTCCCAGACAATGACTAAAAAGTATGAACAAATAAACCAGAAATCAGAGGATGAAGCAGAAGAAATGGATCTAGAGATGAGGAGATAGGAGAAGGGAAATATGGACTGCCATATACAAATAAAATACTGCAAGACCTACCTAAAACAATGAATATACAAAATATCCCTTACTTCCTTCTCCAAAATACACCTGAGGACAAGGAAGAAGATTCTAGAAAACGGAACATAGAGCGGGCAGGGAAAATGTCTAGAGAATGTGGATGGGTGGAGTTCCCCCCCCCCAAAATACTCTACCTAAATTGCCTTTCTCATGCCAAGCAGTTTGCACAAAAATAGAAAGAAAAATTTTGGGCGATTGGCCTGGAAAGCTACTTGGCAAAGAAAGAGTGAGTGAGAGTGAGACTTAAAAAAACAGAAGATTTGATCTATCAGAGGGGGCACTATCTGTTTAATATACCTGTTTGAATATGATTAAAAGAAAGGATGACCCTTAGATATAACTAGATTTTTATAATGAAAGATATGATTTAGAATTAAAATAGCATTTTGTTTTTCTTCTTTTGATATGGGAAATTTGAAAATAAGAGGATTGGTACGAATAATTTTTTTAGTTATATAAATGTAATTAATATTGAGAAAATCGTAAGTAATAAAGATACTGCAAATATTGATGGGAAATCAAACTTTAATAAGAGCATGAAAAACAGGATATTGACATGAATTGATATTATTTCTATAATATTAGTAAAATATAATAAAGATGTCTATATCTAATTTTGTATACATCAATAGTACTAAGAATTGTAATTGTTTAATAAGGGGAAAAAGGAAAATATATGGGGAAGAAAGGAAGATCAAGGAAAAAATACTGGATTGTACAGTACTGAATAGATTTATATTAAAGAAGTTGATGTTAAATATGTAAATCCAGACATGTTGTTTAATAAGCTCTAAAGATTGTAATTTTTAAAAATCAGTAAAACTTATTTTTTAAAAAAAGAACAATTAACCAATGGAACTTGCCTCCAGAAGTTGTGAATATCCCAACACTGGAAATTTTTAAGAAGAGATTGGACAACCATTTGTCTGAAATAGTATAGGGCAGTGATGGCGAACCTTTTAGAGACCGAGTGCCCAAACTGCAACCCAAAACCCACTTATTTATTGCTGGGTGCCAGGTGGGCATGGCTGCAGCATTCGAATACCACCAGTCGTCTAGCAAGGTGTCAAAAGCTTGACCAAAAGAAAAAAGAAAGGAAAAAAGTGATAAAGTACAGGTAGTCCTTGACTTACAACAATTCACTTAGTGACTGTTCAAAGTTACAACAGCACTGAAAAAAGTGACATGATCACTTTCACTGATGACTGTTGCAGCATCCCCAGAGTCATGTGATTTACATTCAGATACTTGGCAACTGATTAATACTTATGATGGTCAGTGTCCCAGGATCATGTCATCACCTTTTGCAACTTTTTGACAAGCGAAGTCAATGGCCAGGGGGGCATGCCCAGCTCAATATCACTCAGGTTGTGAGACGCCTCTGGGGGAGGGGGGGTCGGGGGGGCTGGGGGGGAGATCCATAGGTCTCTGGTGGAGGGGGTGGGACTGCGGTGAGCACCTTCCTTCCCTCCCATTGTCCCTTCCTTCCTTCCCTCCCTCCCACTTTGTCCCTTCCTTCCCTCCGATTGTCCGTTCCTTCCTTCCTTCTCTCTCATTGTCCCTCCCTCCCTCTGTGTCCAGGAAAGGACAAGGGGAGGAGGACAGGCTGCCAGTGCGCCTGGTGGCTGTGCTGCTAGTGGCCATAGCTTGAAAGGCCACTGTAAATTTCTGGACAAGAGCCACACAGCCATGAGAGCAGAGTGGTGGGAAGATATTTGTAATGAGAGAGGGAGAAAAACAAGCATCCCCTGAAGGAAATCAGCAAATGGCTCTCGCCCACTTCACACACCCGTGGATTCCAGAGGAGGGGACGCCACAAGCAGCATGAGAGTCCACGTTACCTGTGCTACACCACCCAGACCCCAGCAGGCAGTGGCATGTTCTCATCGCACGGAATGGCTGGGCTGGGCGAATCGGCGACATGCCAAACCTGCCTGGGCGTGTGCAGAGGCAGTGGCGAACGCATGCACCTGGCGTCCTGGTGAAAGGGATGCACTCAGAATGAGGTCAGCCTGCATGGCAAAACAATCACCCGGTATGCCAGGCACATGCGCTCGCCGCTGCCTCTGCGCACGCCTAGGCAGGCTCGGCATGTCGCTGGTTCGCCTCGCCCAGCCTAGCCACTCCATACGATGAGGAGAACATGCCGCTGCCTGCTGAAATCAGGCTGGGGTCTGGGCAGCGTAGCACAGGTAATGTGGACTCTCATGCCACTCATGGCATCCCTTCCCCTGGAGTCCATGGGTATGTGAAGGGCCATTTGGGGATCTCCTTTCTCCAAACGCTTTCTGCTTCGCTCATTCACCCTTCTTTTGCATTTTCTCCAAGCACTTTCTGCTTCGCTCATTCACCCCTCTTTCTCATTTTCTCCAAGCGTTTTCTGCTTTGCTCATTCACCCTTTTCTCGCATTTTCTCCAAATGCATTCTACTTCGCTCGTTCACATTTCTGTCGCCATGTCTCCAAATCCAAACTCCCGCTGCTTCCCTTGCTTGCCCTGCTCACCTTTCCAAAGTCCAAACTCACTCGTGATACTTCCCTCACTCGCCCTGCTCGCCTTCCCAAAGTTCAAACTGCTGCTGCTTCCCTTGCTCACCTTCCCAAAGTCCAAAGATGTGCGTACTACTTTCCTTGCTCGCCCTGCTCGCCTTCCCAAAGTCCAAACATGTGCGTGCTACTTTCCTCGCTCGCCCTTTCTCCAAAGTCCAAACTCACGTTGCTTCGCTAGCATGCTAACCTTTCTCCAAACTCACGCGCTCACTCACTAGCCTGACTGCACCGTTGCTTCCAAAGGTCACATGCTCTCTCTCTCTCCCGCCAAAACCTACTCCTTTTATAGGTTCCCCTCTCCCCGCCCAGCTCTCACAGCTGCTCCCAGACTCCCAGTGCAGAGAGAGAAAGAGACCGAGAATGCTGCTAGATTTGGTTTGCCTGCTCTCTCCAGCTCCCATTAGTCAGGTGCGCATGGAGAGGGGGAGGGGAACAGCCCCGCCCTGCATCCCTCTGGGATGATGGTGCATGTGCCCACAGAACCATGCCATAGGTTCACCACCACAGGTATAGGGTTTCCTGCCTGAGCAAGAGGTTGAATTAGAAGACCTTGAAAGTCCCTTCCAACTCTGTTATTCCGTTCCATTCCATTCCATTCAATTCCATTCTATCTTAATGATTTCCTAACTATTTTTTGTGTTTATAAAAAAATCAACATGGATTTTTTTTTATACTACTGATCCTCCTGAGGAATCTTTTTGCCAAACAACAGGTTAATAGAGTATTCAATAAATTTATTTATTTACCAACCAAATTTTAAAACCACCCATCTCCATCATAAACGGACTCTGGATGGTGTACAAATAAATTGTTAAAAACAAAACAAAACAATACAAACATATACAATCACAATTTTAAAAAGGCAAGCACTATTAAAAATTCATTAAAAAGCACGGGGAGGGCTTTCAGAGTGCTAACCAGCCCCACAACTTTGTGTTCCTCTATCTACATTCTGAATTGGCTGAATCTTCTAGATACTTTTCAAGGGTAGCCCTATGTAGAATGCACTGCAATAGTCCAAATGGGACATGAGCAGGGCATGAATGAATGACTGGAGAGCTATCCTATCCAGGAAAGGATGTAACTGGCACACAACAGGAAGTTGCACAATAACCTCCCAATAAAATCTAATACTTTATATGACACCATGGAATGCCTGACTTAGTATATTTTAATTATTTTACTTTTAAGTGTTAGGCATGTATTAAATAGAATTTCTGTGAGTGCAAGCCTGCTGTTGTTTTTTTTTTTTTATTAAACTGGCTTTTATTGCCTACTATGTGTAGAAGTTAAAAGTTTGCATTCAAAATAACCAAAGATGAAGTCAACAGGAAACAAAATGAACTTCACTTTATATAGATAGAAGACAAAACTCAAACTTATTTATTTTATTTATTAAATTTATATTCTGTTCATCTCACGTTGCAGCAACTCTGTGACTTGTGACTCAAGCATTGGGAAGTAGATCATCAGTAATGATCCCACTAAGTCCTTTTTTGGAGAGAGAAACAGTATTTTGGAATATTATAGACAGAGTCCTGGTAGAAAATAAGGACAAAAAGAAATTCTGGCCTCATTTTTGAAGAAGAGCAGGTATAAAAGAACATCAACTTTATCTTTCTAGTCTAGAGAATCCCAACCTTTTTTTCAAATAGTAAGCTCCAACCACTGGAGCTTTCAGGTCTGCTAAAACAGATACAACATCACCAGAGAAGACAAGAATCAAGGAAAACATTACCCAAACTGATATCATCACTTCCAAGGTAGGTGGATGACTACAAAATTTTGGCAAACCTGAGAACACAAGTGTGCAATGATAGATGAATGCTTGAAATAGTTCAGGGATAGTCCAGAAAACAGTCCAGTCTCCAAAGTGTTTTAATTTTAAGAATGTGCATTATTTACAAATAATGCAAAAAAAATTAAAAAGTACTTTAAATTAATCTTTTTCTTTTGCTACTTGATTAAAGCCATACTATTACATGCTTCAGAGCTGGTTTGGTGTCATGGTTAAAGTATCAGGCTGGAAACCAGGAGACCATGAGTTCTAGTCCCACCTTAGGCACAAAGCCTATTGGGTGACTATAAGCTAGTCACTTTCTCTCAGCCTTAGGAAAAGAACAATGGCACATCATTTCTGAAAGACCTTGCCAAGAAACTGCAGGGGCTTGTCCAGACAGTCTCCAAGAATTTGATACCACTGAACAGAAGAAAAAGAAATTATATGCTTAAATGGATGTCTAAGTGAATGCTTAAACAATCAAATAATTCCCATGGATTAAAAAAAAAACATCTTCAATAATATATGAGAAAAGGTGACAGCAGCTTTCATTTGACTATTAGCATACAATTGTATGAGTGTAAAAGTTTTTAGACAAACAAAATTTACCAGGTATTGTGAAAAGTAAATACGTAAAAAATTATAAGTTAGCATTTTTTGAAATTTATTTATATGGAGAATGCTACAAATACATAAGGAACGGGATTTTTTCCGGGAGTCCACAAGTCCAGCAATGTTTTTCAATATGAATGAGCTGGCTTCCTTCTGTGGTATTCTCCATCTTTTATAGTTTGACTAATTTGTAGAAATTCAAAGTCTCCTGACAATGCAAATACAAATGCAGTTGCAGCTACTTTTTAAATTATTATTTGTCTTCATCAGTAACTTCTGACTTTGAACTACTTTCATCATTTTTCATGGCATTCTGCTTTTCTCCTCAATTTTGACTCATACTGACAACAGTGAAAACATTGAAATAGTAATAAATTCCACTGGACTAATCCATTTCTGAAAGGTTAGAATTATTTAGTGTTCAGATAGATAGTAGTTTCTCAATGTTTGTATTGTCCTAGGAGAAACAGCAATGACAATTCAATTTTCCAATACAAATGTAACAGTACATTTCTATTAGTAAGCATGAATCTTACAATTAAAGATATCAAGCAATAGTCCTTTGGCTATCTGTCATGAACATACATTCCATAATTATTAATATTACACTTTCAGTGCTGATTTACATATATACATGAAAAGAGCAATCATTGCTAGACTTTATATTTAATAAAATGAGGCTGACTCCATCCATGATGATTTTCTAGAAGTTCTCAAAATTTGGTTGTGCCACCAGATCTGGGTAACCCAGGGGACTGGTGAGATACTGAAGTAGTTGCATTGTTATTAACATCTGGTCTTTGCATAATATTTCTGTTATAACCTTGACCATCAGTCAAATGCAAAAGTAGCTTTACTTGGAACAGCTTACATCCTGCAATACCTTTAACATCATCAAAAAACATCTTCTATCCCAGCTCCTTGGGAAGGACTCAATAGATGGATAAAAATGCCAAATCCAATCTAAACAGCCAGCTGACTGTGCAATAAACCATAATAATAACAAAAAATTGTATGTATAGTTTTTAGCCATGTTGTACGCCGCTCAGTACCACTTGTTTTGCGAGAAGGGTGGCCATAGAAAATTGATGAATAAATAAAATTATAAATTTAAATAATATAATATAATAATATAAATAAAAAAATTATAATTAAGCAAAATGCCACACAAATCAGTAAATCTAACTTTCCCAGCCAAAGAAAGAAAAAATGTCTGAGTAGGAATGGAAGAAATTACTTATAGTGCAGAATAGCAATCTGTTAAGATGTCTTAAGACCTCTTAAAATATGCAATGAAAATCTATTTGCTTCTAAAGCATAAATTATCTAGACAAACTAAGAAACAGCTACAGCAATTAGCACAATAACCTCCCATTCACCTTCTGTGGAAAACTTGACAGCACAAAGAGTTCAGAAGTCCTTGCAAGTTTGCCTTTATTATGTCAAGATGTCAGAACTCATTTGCACTGATTTTTAAATATATTCTCTCTTCTCTCTTCCACCCTGGCTAATATCTGGATAGATCTAGAATCTGAAAAAAGTATTTCTGCAAGGAACAAAGCTAATAAAGTCTATCTTCTGCAGATCAATGAACATGTGGAATTTTAAAAAACCCAGCCCTCTGGAGAAGATAAAGCATGTGGCTGTATACACACAGATTCACAAAGTCACCCAAGCTTAATTTCAAGTACCGGTAATTAAAAATGCAAAATATACCCTGAAATGTTAGCATTACATAGAAGCTAGTTGAATAATTCTGTTAACAATCTAAATGTATCTTCTGACAAATAATTTGCTTTTCCTTCCAATCCTTATATTTGATCTAAACTTTATCTTATAAAATGTACTTCTTTCACAGATTTACCATTTGAAAGAAAAAAAGCCTGAGAAATAATGAAGATGTTTTTAATATGCCAACAACAAATGCTTCTTTGTATATCAGATTATTAAGACCAGTTAAGTGATTCCCATTAACTAAACGTGGCTGATCTAAACTAAATAGGACCAGTCCTGGTTATTATTAAGATGTAAGACTATCAAGAAATTACAGAGCTGCAAGGTAGACTAAGAAGTGAAAAAAATATCTTGGAAGAAGGCAATCATATCTATATTTTTTTGAGGAGTATAGGTAGCCCTTGACTTACAACAGTTCATTTAGTGACTGTTCAAAGTTACAATGGCACTGAAAAAGGTGACATGATCATTTTTCACACTTATGACCACTGCAGCATCCCCATGGTCACAGGATCAAAATTGGCAACTGACTCATATTTATGATGGTTGCGGTGTCCTGGGGTCATGCAATCACCATTTTTGACCTTCTGACAAGCAAAGTCAATGGGGAAGCCAGATTCACTACTAACTTAACAACTGCAGTGATTCACTTAACTATTATGGGACAAAAATCACTTGTCTCACTTAGCAACAGAAATTTTGGGTCCAATTATGGTTATAAGATGAGGACTAACTAAACAGTAACACATGGACATATCATTATCATATCATATGAACAAAAATTCAACCTGTCCAAAATGAAAAGTTATCTTTTACAAGCATTAAATTCAGCAATATCATTTGTTTAAGGAAATTTATAGCCTTATAAGAATACAATAATCACAGCATAAAATGATTCTATGAATTTCAATCCAAAATAATTCTGAATAATGTAAAATTATGAGATTTGTTCACATAAAGAATCCATACAATTACAGTGGGACAAATATGTTTGAGACATGGCAAAAGAAGAAAATCAGAATGCAATAAAGTTGTAAAAGACACATTGGATTGTGTATATATATATATATAATACTCACCATCTCTTTAGCTATTTCCACAGCTTCTTGCAGCCCATAAAGCCTGCCACAGACTAGGTAAATCCCATTGGCCCAGAGAATACAGCCCTCATGGACCCAAAATTCATTGCTATCAAGAGGTAGTTCAGGAATTTGTAGCTCCAACTCAGGACCACCTTCAGAAGTAGGTATGGGGAGTTTAGAGTCTGAGGAAGTATTTTCACCAACACTGCCACCCTCTGTGGTTGTTTTTTTACAAGCAGCACCTCTTGAAAGTGACCGAGAAACCCCAGCACAGTCCTCCGAGCGATGCCGTCTTTTAAAACGTGGGTGGGCAGCCAGGCTTCTCTGTTCTTTTTGCTGTTGCTCCTCCTCTTCTTCCTCTGTGTCAGTCTTGGAACCATTAGAAAGACTTTTATGTCGTACTTTGATCTTGTTTTGCATCTCTGTGGACTTCTTAGGAGGGGGATTCTTAGGCAGTGTGGCTGCATAATCTTGTGGATAGAAAGGTCCAAAGAGATCACCCATGTTGCGATAGCTGGCCCATTTGCCACAAAGGCAACAGACAAGATGGCCCATAACAGATGACTCTGTTACAACAGGACCTTGTAGCATAAAAGAGGAAATAGGCAGTACTTTACTCTCAGCATTGCTAGGAGGTGGCGTTGATGATCTCTGTCCTTTTCGACCCCTCATCAATTTATTCTGCTCTTCTTCCTCTGCATTAATTATTGTGCAGACAGCACCTAGCTCACACTTGTTTACCACATGAATATAAGGGAAAAAAGATTTATTCCTAGTATCAGTTTTATCAAGAGATTGAATAGCATATTTTAATTTGATTTCTGGTTCTTGAGGCTCCACAATGGGAGCAGCTCGTCTTGGTTTCCGCTTTCGTGGCTGTGCTGTAGTTTTCCTCCTCTCTCTTCGCTGTCTCTTAGGTTTTGGTTCACCATCTACTGCTTCCTCTGATAGCTGCACTGCTTCTGGCACTAATGGAAGTGGTAATTGTTGTTGCTTCTTTTGCTTGTTTACACTACCTATAGGTCTTCCCTTTTTCTTACCAGAAGGAAAATATCCCTTTGGAGGAAAAGGATCTGGCTTGGGTGTCATAATTGTACCTCCATCTTTTTCTTCTGGCTTTGCACTTGTTTCAGGAGCCAAAATATTGGTTGGGGGAATTGATTTTGATTCAGAAAAACTTACAGATCCATCAATTCTTACTTGACCAACAGATTTCTGCAAAGATGCTGGAATCAAGACAGGCATTGAACCGTCTTTGCCAACAGTGGCATGTTCAGAAACCTCTTTTTTCACAATCTCATCTCCATCATCACGCCAATCTTCAGAAGATATTGTCCGAGAAATTTCATTGGGCAGTACTTGATTTTCTCGATCTAACACAACTTCTTCTTTTATATTTTCTGCTTCTATCTCATGATTGGCCACATTCCCACTGTCTGGGCGGCCACTTTTCAGGGACAGAATGTCATCAAGAGTGACTGCATCTGCACCAACCTCAGCACAATTTGAAGATGCACTCCTCCTAACACTGGGAGAGGTGATTTTTTGAACAATAGCTTCCAACTTTAATCCACGACCCTTTCGTGGGGGAAGAATTTTTGTTTTAGCTGGGCTTGTGATGGAAACACCAGAACAGTTTCTATTATCAGGACTTGGAAGATTCCTAGATGATTCTCCTTTTGAGAATGATCTACCAACATCTTGATTTTGAGAGGAATGGGCATAAGAACTGAGAGTTTTATCAACTCCATCCTTTGATAAAGGGAGCATTCGTCCTTTGTCATCAATGCCACTAGTTTTCATTTCCTGCAACTGCCTCTTGCTTGGAATAGGAGAAATGAATGAGCGGACTCGCCTTCTCATTATTAAAGGATTTTGAGGAGATTGATCTTCTTGGCCAGGAATTCTTACCATGGCATTAGCAGATTTAAGTACATCACCAACATCATCACGCCTATGTGCATCACTATTTTGTGAAATAAATCTCTTCTGACTTGTCCCTAGAGAGCCACTGCTCTTTCCAGGCGTTACTTGACGGGAAAGATCCCAACCTGATTCATGTTGCTGAATCTTTTGATTCATGTGTTTAACTTCCACACACTTATTCTGAAGAGTGCTTTCACCCCCCAATAAACAACGGCTGGTTTCTTGGCACCCCGCATCATGGTAAGAACCAGAATGGAGATACATCATTCCATCCTTGTCATTTTTTAAAGGACTCCTTACTCTATCTAAGAATTGTTGCTGTCTTGGGCTCTTTCTAGTCGTTTCCTGCCTGTGCTGAGCTGCAGCAATCACACCCTGAGCAGAGCTGCTACTCCAATCTTTATAATCTTCTTGCTGTTGATGGTATAGCTGTCTTTTATAGTGATACTGAGAATTCAGTCCTTGATTAGTATCACCATAAATATGGGATCGAGAATTACCATGATATGCTGAAGTCAAAGATGAGCTTTCAGAATTTGAAGAGAAAGAAGCATGTAAGGAACTTCGGTTGACCCTGTCAGAAAGCACCATATGTGGATTCATCTGGTGAAGATCTGTCACCGGACCTCTGTTTCTTCCAGGTGACGTCTTTAACTTTTCTGCCAGATCATGAAATTGAGAGGGAGATTTACCTCTCATTCCTTCCCGGCTGCTTCCTATTCTGCTAGGTCCTCGTCTCATCTGTGTTGTTCGGCTATCCTGTTGTAGCAGGTAGTCTGATGCAGAATCAAATGTTGCAGCTCCAGGGCTAGCATTCCCTCGGTAAGATTCATGTTTAAAACTGGCATGGTGACAATGATCTCCCGATTTTTTGTTGTTAATGTTGGCAGAGGTCTTAGGTTCAAAATCCTCTTCCTTAATCTGCCCACTGTGAGACTTTAGCTTGGCTTCTATGGCTACGAGGCCTCCAGGGAGGATGACTGACTGATTTAAACTAGAAGTCAGACGGTCACTTCTTCCACTCCTGCCATCAGCACTCATATGTCCTCCAGAATGTGGCCCAGAATCTCTAGCAATCTGCCTCAAAGGTGATATATCACAAATAACTGATCTTCTCTCCGAGACTCCTCCCCCTTCATGAGCTGTGGAATCTAAGTCAAACTTTCTAGGCATAGGATAGTCTACCAAATTTATCTGTTTCATCTCAGCTGTACTACCACTTAATTTTCTATCCCAGTGTCCCCAGTGTGAACTTTCCATAAGAGATCCAATACTTTTATTTAAAAGACCTCTGTTACTTAATTCATTTGTTTGATTAACCAGGACATTGGGCCTCATGCTACTTTCTAAACTTCCACTAATTCCATGCTGATCTTGGGCATTTCTAGAATATCTCCTGTCAGGATGATGGTGATAGCCTTGTAGAACTTCCTGCAACAGACTGGGAAATTTTTCATTCCTGCCCTTTCGCTCACTATGCACTGAAAATTCCCCTTTATCCTGACCTGAAGGATATTGTGAAAAGGTACCAGAATTTTTTTGCATATTAACCCCAATACTATCTTTGAAGCTGTATCTCAAACTACCAGGGGATTTAGAAGGCTCTGTTCTGCTTGAAAAACTAGAGCCAATAGCAGCATGACCAGGTGGATTATTTCCATCTTCATTATGATTAGTGGTGCTGTCCCCAGTTCTGCTCCCTTTATTTCCACCTTGTGGCTCTTGCTGTGCTCCTACAAGACTAGTCTCTTTCACTGCAGAGGCAGATGGCAGTACTTGAGCACTTGTAGAAGCATCATCTTGCTGGGATTTATCCTGTCCACTTGATTTTTCCACTCTTCCTGACATAGCTTCTCTGGAGACTATCACGCCAACTGTCTTTTCATTGATCTTTGGGGGGACCTCCACAGAAATCAAGGCTTCTTTTCCATCAGGAGGGGAGGCTGCCTCTTCTTCAACTGCAGAGCTGGTAGTGATTTTTGCAGGTTCATTTTGAGATGGCGGTGCTGGTGATGACTGAGATTTTTCTAAATTACCCCCCTTATAAGTGGTGTCAGAACTGGTGCTCTGACCACTCAATTGTCTCACCCTTTCTCCTTGATCTTCTGAACTACTGGAACAACCACCATCAATGGACTCTGCTAGTGGAGACTTAAGCTGTTCCTCTGCCTGAGAGGAACCTTCTGAGTTTGTGCAGCTCTCTGTTTTTTTTGATGATTTTTTTGAGCTTTTCTTCTGAGGCACCAAAGCATCTGAGAGTAACATGTGCTGAACTGTATTGGGTAGATTAGCTACTTGACTACTCAGGGCACTTAAACTGCTTAGTCCTGGATCTGTAAGTCTTTTTTCCTGCAAGCCTTCAAGCCCAAATCCTTTGAATCCTGCACTCTGAGCACTGGGGCTTGGCATCATGGATGGTGTTGGACTAAGCTGAGGCATCATTTGTAAAATGCGGTTTCTAGATGCTACTGGAATGTTGCTTTGTCCACATTGAAGATTCTCACCACTTGGCATGAGAGGAGATGGTGTGGAACTGCAGCTTGGAGACTGAACCACAGAGGCAGCTGGTGACGGGTTAGATATAGGACTAAAATTCTGATGGAATTGCATGGGTGATCTTACAGGGACCTCAGCTTGATTGTACTGCCCCACTTGACTTTGAAGAGACAGTTTGGAAGCAGTATTTGAATACTGCATTACATGTTGTGAAGAAGCCTGCTGTTGTTGTGACTGTTGTCCCTGTCCTTGTGCCTGTTGACTCCCTTGGGTCAACTTTGACTGCTCAAAGTTTTTCATTGGCTGTGTCTGAAAGCTGTAATTTGACTGAGTCCCATAAGCTTGTGCACTTGAACCAACAGCATGTCCTTCATACTGTGAACCAGCATTCACAGTATAATTACCATCATAGTTCTGTCCAGATTGACCAAATCGTTGCGAAGAAGGAAATGAAGAAGAGGAAGAAACAGGAGGCTGATAGTGCTGACTATACTGACCTATTCTTAACGGATAGCTAGAAGCAGATGAAGGCAGATTTGAAGGGCGTTGAATTGACTGCAAATGAGGTGTGTTAGAGGCAGATTGGTTAGAGGCCTGTGGTAAAGGCTGATGAGATTGATAAAGCTGCTGCCTCATTTGCTGCACTTGTTGCTGTTGTTGGCTAGATGTTGGCTGCTGATACTGAGCAGTGCCAGGGGAGAAAGGACCAGTATAATCCTGCTGATAATGTGTTACTCCACCAAGTGATGAATGTTGTGTTTGAAACTGGGTCACGTGACTTTCACTTCCATACTGACTCCCAAAGCTGCTGCCTTGGGGTGGTCCATAGCTCTGTACTGGTCCAGAAGGCCTACGCTGAGGAAGCTGTTGTCCTCCTCCTGCTACAGGATCCTTACCGGAAGCCATATAATAGAATTCTCCTGCTTCTTTTCTGAAACCTTGATAACTCTGATGTCCAGAGCTTTCACTACCCATAGATGCAGAGTTTCCTGTTGCTTCACGGCGTCCACTAGTGCTGCTACCTCCTCCAAAGCTCTGAAACATCTGAGCTTGCTGGCGAGAGCTAAATTCCTCTAGCCGGGATGTACCATGTACTTCCTGTGGGTAGTTCTGTTGGTTTCCGTGGTAACTGCTCTGCTCCCGAAAGGACTGCATGCTGTTCAGCTGCGTATTGACAGCTTAACAGCCTGCCTGAAAGAGAAAAAAAGATAAATAAATGAGCAAAACAGTTCACGTCCCCTGTCACAGAAATATACATATTATCAACTAGCTGACCTAGTATTGTTTTCCCCTCAGGAAACTAAGAGCATGAATTTCTGCTATAAAAGTAGAATAGGATGCCAATGACTGTATTTTATAAAAACATTTTATAAGATTGTTTTTATTACTAATTTTCCACCTATTCCATGTTAGTGCTGCTGTGACAGATACCAAGATGACCCCAGCCCCAATAGCAATTCTATATTGCTTACAATAATATGTCACAGCAAAGAATATTTGAACTGGAGAAACTTTGAAACCGTTTTAAAATATTTATCTGATTTGAAAACACGTATCTATGGTGTGAAAAATACAGAATGTACATCAATATTAATCAAGAAGCAAATACCATGTTCTATGAACAGAATTTCAGCTTCAGAAAAATAATCAATAAGTTGAGCATAATTTAAAATGACAAGTGAGAACTGTGCTTTTGGATTTTATGAAAGATTGCTATATTACCATTTTCCCACTGTCCCAAAATTCAAATAATAATACCACATAAACAGCAATATTAATATTTGTACACATTCATGCATCTAGCACAGTTTACAAATCTGAATATAAAAAGTGGAATATGTAAACCAAATTTCAATTTAAGCAAAACAAATACCGTATTTTCCGGCATATGGTTTTCTAAACCATGAAAATCTTCTCAAAGGTTGGGGGTCGTCTTATACGCCCAGTCATCTTATACGCCGGAAAATATTCGCATGTGCGTTGGAGGCCAGCCGGCCAGGCTGGCCAGGAGGTGAGAAGCGGCGCATTCTGAGCGGGAGCTGGCACTCCAGCCATGCCCCTCTTGCGTGCTATGGGCTGCGTGGTGTGGAAAGGGGCTCCCGCGACTCCACTGCTGCGATGGTGCTCAGGAGGCTGGAGGGGCGGGCAGGTCCTGGGGGGGGCAGCTGGGAGAGGGCAAGAGGTGGTGGGATGATGGGGGGCTCCAGATTGGTGGGTGTGAGAGTGCAGCCGGCAGCCCAAGGCGCGCGGATCCTCCGCGCAGCTTCCAAGGCCCCGGATGTGCTGCCGCTTGGCTCTCCGCCAGAGCCTTCCCCCCTCCCCGGGCAATTGTGCGGAGCTGCTTATGCATCCTTGGCAGCGCCTGCCCCCTTCAATCTCTCTCTCTCCTTCCTTCCTTTTCCCTTCAATCTCCTTCCTTCCTTCCTTCCTTCCTTCCTTCCTTCCTTCCTTCCTTCCTTCCTTCCTTCCTTCCATCCATCTCCATCTCCATCTCCATCCCTTCCCCTTCAATCTCTCTCCTTCCTTCCTTCCTTCCTTCCTTCCTTCCTTCCTTCCTTCCTTCCTTCCTTCCCTCCTTCCTTTCCCCTTTAATCTCCTTCCTTCTCGATCTCCATCCCTTGGCTCCCGGGAGGTGAGTGGAGGGCAGGTCGGAGGAGAAGCCGGGAGCAAGTCGGGCTGTTTCTTTTCCTCCATGATGTGGAAGCAGCGAAGGGACGAGGCTGAAACATGTCGGCTGCTGCTGCATATTCATTCTTTCTCTCCCCAAATGTTCTTATCCTTACGCTGCATGATTTTGTTATGTGCTCCTGGCTACTTTCCTTCGTGACCAGAGGCAAGCTCGTTTGACCACAGCCAAGATATAGTGAAAGCCTTTTGCTTTGTTTATTGCACTAAGTGGAAGAAAAGGTTTCAAAGCTTGGTTCTCTTCAAAGTTTTAATCGTCCACGCAGCTTCCAAGGCCCCGGATGTGCTGCTGCTTGGCTCTCCACCAAGCTCTGCCAGAGCCTCACCCCCTCCCTGAGCAATTGTACGGAGCTGTTTGTGCGTCCTTGGCAGCGCCTCCCCCCTTCTCTCTCCTTCCTTCCTTCCTTCCTTCCTTCCTTCCTTCCTTCCTTCCTTCCTTCCTTCCTTCCTTCCTTCCTTCCTTCCTTCCCCCTTCAATCTCCTTCCTTTTCCATCTCCTTCCTTTCTCCTTCAATCTTCCTTCCTTCTCCATCTCCTTCCTTTCCCCTTCAGTATTCCTTCCTTTCATCTCCATCCCTTCCCCTTCAATCTCTCTCTCTCCTTCCTTCCTTCCTTCCTTCCTTCCTTCCTTCCTTCCTTCCTTCCTTCCTTCCTTCCTTCCTTTCCCCTTCAATCTCCTTCCTTCGCCATCTCTTTCCTTTCCCCTTCAATCTTCCTTCCTTCCTTCTCCTTCCCTCCCTCCCAACATTTTTGAGCAAGGAAGAGTAAGCTTTTCCAGTGAGCATTGCTACCGTATTTTCCGGCATATAAGATGACTTTCTAAACCAGTGGTTCTCAACCTGTGGGTTGGGATCCCATTTGGGGTTGAACGACCATTTCACGGGGGTTGCCAAACAACGCAGTCCACCATTTTTCCCCCTTTTCCTTAGCTGTGCTACTCCCTTTTATTCTATTGGCTTTTGAAAGCTAATAGAATAGACTCTCTTTTGAAAGCCAATAGAGTCTAATTCTATTGGCTTTCAAAAGCCAATAGGAATTGTCCAGGCTGTCTCTGCCCTGCTGAGTCCGCCAAAAGTCCCATTCTGCAAACGGTGCTGCACCAGTTGAGTAGTCCTCGACTTACGACCGGTTGGGGGTCACGGCATTAAAAAGGTTGAGAACCACTGTTCTAAACCATGAAAATCTTCTCAAAAGTTGGGGGTCGTCTTATACACTGGAAAATACGGTAGCTGGATATCCCAAAATGCTTCCCTATGATTTTGTAAATATTTAATACAGGTTATGTCTATTTACAAATATATGAAATCATATGAATGATTTAAGCATATGTTCATCAAAACTATAATTTGTTTTAAATCACCAAAAGTTGAGGCAAGTACTAAACAATTAAATTGTTCTAAGACCTGCTAGTGAAACCAAATCAATCGTCAAATATGTAACTGAATAAACTAATTAATTTACTTCATCAACGATCTTTAGGGACCAAAACTTAACCAAACTTGACTGATTCTAGAAACTAAGAATGTTAACACTTGGATGGGAGATACTCAAGAATTCCAGAGCTGTTGACTATAGTAGAATAGAATATATGTTTTTGAAAGCTGGTGCTGGAGAAGACTCCCAAGAATAGCATGGAGAGCCAAGAAAACAAGCAAATGGGTTATCAAACAAATAAATGCAGAATTCTCACTTAAAGCACAGATGACCAAGTTGAAATTAACCTACTTCGGGTACATTATGCAAAGATGTAGTTCTCTTGAGAAAGTTCCAATACTAGGAAAGGTGGAAGGAAAGAGAAGAGGATGACCAGTAGCAAAATGAATGGACTTGGTTACAGCGACAATGGGTGCTCCATTGGTAAATTGGAAAAACTAAGTTAGGGAAGATCATAGTGTTGAAAATCTGTCTATGTGGTAACTAACAATTGAAAAGATTTAATGACATATAATTAGGCAAGAGTAAAACAGTAAAGAAAATATCCTACAACAAGGCATTAGCAAACTCTTAAGTAATTTTGCCAATAACTTTGAATGGATATAGTTAGTTGGAGTTAAGCTCACCTTTACTACACAAGAATATATTAACAACTATATTAACACAATGGCGTATGATTAAAATTCGAGCAATAGCAGTAGCACTTACTTATATATCGTTTCACAGTGCTTTACAGCCCTCTCTACGTGGTTTATAGAGTCAGCATATTGACCCCAACAATCTGGGTCCAGGATGGAAGGCTGAGTCAACCTTGAGCCAATAAGACTTGAACTGCCAAACTGCTGGTAGCCAGGAGTCAGCCTACAATACTGCATTCTAACCACTTTGCCACCAGCGCTTGGAAAACAGCATGTATTGATGACAGTTGTAGCATCCCGGGATCGCCATTTGTGACTTTCCCAGCTTGCTTCTGACAAGGAAAGTCAACGAGGGAACTGACTATGTAATTCACTTAACTGCAGTGATTTGCTTAACAAACATGGCAAAAAGTGTTGAAAAATCAGGAATGAGTCACTTAAAAACTGCCTTGAGAAATATCAGCAGAAACAATTTTGGTCACAGCTGTGGGCATAAGTTGAGGACTACCTAGACTGCCCATCTATCAGTTATACTACACAGCAAGAATATGTAGATTCGGTCATATTTACTTTTTTGAGTGAAATAAATTTTATATACATTTTTAGTTTGCTGTAAAATTTGTGGAATGATCTATTTGAAGGAGCTCGTTTTTTAAAAAAATTAAATAAAAAAGCCATATCCTCTCTTCCTATTATAGAAAGCACTTTTCTGCAAGATTTTCTGTAAAAAAGTTATAACATTATGAGATATACAACCACATTGAGTATAGGAATATTTCCCACAGAAGCCACACTCCAACAGAAGAGAACTTCTACTGACTTCTCTGAGTATGGTGTACTACAGATAGTCCTTGACTTACGACTAGTCATTTAACAACTATTCAAAGTGAAGACAACTCAGAAAGGATGCTATGCTTCTTCAGTCCAGAGAATATACATGGGGGGGGGGGGAGAGAGCATGAATGGGAGGGGAATTCCTATGGTAGGCTGCAGAACTGAGCTCCGTTCCTATATCCAACCAATGTTCCCTTCTGCACATGGTGGGGGGGGGAGCTGCTTGCCTTCCTTTAGCTGGCAGCTCTTTCACTTTGTCTCCTTAACAACCGCAATTGGAAAAGCCATGGTTGTGGTCACTGAATGAAGTGTACGAATAAATTGTAAGCAGCTACTTGAGAAAATAAAAATGTGGATAACAAATTTGTGATTAAAAACATTATACAATAGAGCCTATATCTTACTCTGACATTTTTTCTAGATGCTCAGGGAAAAAATGTAATTCCTCCCACTCACTTTCTTCAATCCTTGATGTGAGACAAAAAATAAGGCTTGGCTTAAAATTATCTAGTCAGCTTTATTGTCAAAGAAGGATTCGAACTAAATCTTTCCAATCAGTGTTAGTCTAACATTTTTTACTAACCTAATACATGATGAGTG